CTAAATATTGAGAAAATGGCCTTTAAAGTTGTCCAAATGAAGTTCTTAGCAATGCATATTACTAATCAAAAATTAAGTTTTGTTATATTTACGATAGGAAATTTACTAAATATCTTCACGGAACATGATTTTTACATAATATCCTAATGAGTTTTGGCATAAAAGAAAAATCTATAATTTTGACCCATGTATTTTTGGCTATTGCTACAAATATACCCCAGTGACTTAAGACTGGTTTTGTGGTCCAGGGTCACATATTGGTCAATAGTAAGTACCTATTTTAACAACTATTCAAAACATCTATATAAAAATGTTCTTTTTAGAGTAAATGCAGAGTAGAATTATATTATTTTCTTGGATTTATATTCTTTTATTTGATATGCCACAAAATACCAATGCATGGTAATAAAGAGCAATATTTACACTACCATTCAAAGGTATTGGGTCAGTAGGATTGTTTTTTTTTTTTTAAGAAATTAATACATTATTCAGAAAGGATGCAAAAATGTTTTGTCATACTATTTCAAATAAATGCTGTACTTTAGAATTTTTTATTCATCAAAGAATCCTAAAAGAAATGTATCCATTTCCAGCTAAAATAATAACAGCACAATTGTTTTCAACATTGATATGTTTCTTGATCACCAAATCAGCATATTAAAATGAATTCTGAAGGATCAGTAATGGATGATTTAAAAAATCCAGTTTTTCCACCATAGGAATAAATAGTTTTTTTTTTAAATGATTAAAATAGAAAATTGGTTTAATATAATTAATGAAATTGAATATATATATATATATATAACGTTACTTTTTTTCTGTGGCTACATCCATGAAATATACATGAAATCCCAGCATAAATGCTCCAGATAAATATTTGTTATTAAAGCATCAACATTCACAAAACACTGTTATTTTTAACTAGAGCATGCATAGGCTGCTGTGTACATGGTTTGGGATGACAGAATACCAGCAAATAGCGCTGCTTTTATAATCTCTTAAAAGATGACATCTCAATTCATCGCAATCCCACAAAGCTCTTGTTATAACACAATGAATATATGTATGATGAATCTTTCATAATGTCTACAATTCGTGTGTTATAATGAGAAGATTTGTGAGCACGCACATTTTAGCACTGCACTCCTGACTGGCCATTGCATTCCAGAAATCAACATTGCTCAACGCAACAAACACGTGTTATAGCCTAAATAGAAACTCTGCCTAAGCTTGCGCCTGTTAATCGTTTATATTTGATATTAGTTCTTGCTGCTTTTGTGCAGTAGATGTATAACAATTTATTTGTTTCAGATATTTTCTGTTTAGATATTTCTATTTTATATTAAGTAATGCTGGCTACTAGTACTTGCAAACCACTGCTTTTTGATATTTCTTTTTCTTCTGTTATGTGAAAACAGCTTTGTTGTTTCAGTGTAGGTGAAAGCATTGTACCTAAATGGATTTACGCGGAACATTGTTTAGTTGAAGATGTATTAAAGCTGTACTTCTCTGGCTTTCATTGCAGGATACGTCAGGATGAAACGACTCAGGACTTCAAGCAGCAGTGACAGTTCAGACAATGAGAGTAAGTAAAATGAGCCTTAAAAAATTCTCAATCTACTTGTAAGATTCATACAGAACAAAGATGTTTATTCTTGGCTCACTCCGTGTTTGTATCATAAAGGTCCCTCGACATCCTTTTCCTCTAACAAGTATGGAAGCAAACCAGGCACCCCCGCCTCTGCTCAGAAGAAACCAGCAGAGGTAAGCGCAATGGAAAACACCTCCTCGTTTTTACCACCAGCCCTATGAATGAGGTATTTCTACAATAAAATTGGTTGTATCACTCATTAAGGTTATTTCTCCCTTGTAGGTGTTCAGAAAAGACTTGATCAGTGCCATGAAGCTTCCAGACTCTCACCATATTTCTCCTGACGATTATTACCTGTTGGCGGACACATGGAAGCAGGAATGGGAAAAGGGTGTACAAGTACTCGCTAGTCCAGACACTATCCCTCAGCCCTCTGTGAGGTATGTCACTTTGAATAAAAGCAGGTTTTTGGACATGTACCATCTTGCATGTCACTGAAGTTGGGGTTTTTGTGTGTAGGATAATAGCAGAGAAGCCAAAGGAGGTCCTCTTCACCAAACCAAGGAAATATATTCAAAGCTGCAGTCAGGACTCTACGGAGACGGGTTACGTTAACTTCAAGGAGCTGGCAGAAGCTATGTGTAGATATGACCTGGACGATATGGACCTATACTGGCTTCAGCAGCTCAATGCAGAACTTGGGATTATGGGTAAGTGAGAAGAAATGGTTCCCTATAAGATTTGGTCTCATGACATGCTTCAGGGGATAAAGTACATTTTGGATGTTACATTCAGGTGACGGGCCAGTGAATGAGTTGATGATGGAGCGGGTGATGGAGGCATTGGAGAGACAGTGCCATGACAAAATGAACCACGCCATCGAGACTGAGGAAGGGTTGGGAATAGAGTACGATGAGGATGTCATCTGTGATGTATGTCGCTCACCCGACAGCGAGGAGGGCAATGACATGGTCTTTTGTGACAAGTGTAACATTTGTGTGCACCAGGTGAGATCTTTGTTACTGTCAGTAAATACATCTAAAAAAATCAGAAGACCTTTTTTTGTGTGTCTAACGATCCTACATTAGGGTTGTGACGGTGAGGAAATTTTCCCACCGGTTAATCGACATGTGACAACACTGGTAATCACCGGTATCACAGCGGGGGCGTTCCCTCTTTTCCTCGCTTTCCTTCGCTTTTAAATAGCTTGTAAAAGCAGTGTCCGCATTTTACTTTCACTTTCAAATAGCGGCAATTCGGAGTAAAGCCATTGTTAATTTTTAGTTTGTTTGAATTTTCCCTCTTTTCCTCGCTTTCCTTCACTTTTAAATAGCTTAAAAGCGCCGTTTCGAATTAGCGGCAGTTAGGCGTCAATTGCTTGAATGCAACAACAAAATACAACGTCAAACTCACTTTAGCTTATATATAAAACATAGAACTTTTATTAACAAAACAAATAAAAATAC